AGTGTGGGGTGGTGACAGCGGCCACTGGCTAGTGACAGACCCTGGCAGCAAAGGGGTAGCGCGAGAGGCAACGCTGTGGGCAGCTCTCCTGGTGCGGACAGAGGCGTATAAACGTCCCCCACGGCTTTCACTGCTGTGTAGCGGCACTGAGTGAGCATTACACGTGTTCTAGGAAGTGGATTCCTTTGACTTTTAAACCCTCCTTCTCCACTTAGGCCTTGGTCAACAATATTTGCAGAACTCAATAAGAGGCTGCTCTTCGCGTGAAGTTACAAGTTATTGCTTTACATTAAACGCCTAAAATTAATTGAAAATGAAAGGGAATGTACTTCTTGAGTGAGATTCTCTATCTGTTCCCTAAGTTAGGCTGTTGCTTGAGGAAGAGTATAAGAGCTTTGTTTGGTCTACACTGCAAAAAAGAACATTGCTACAGTGGTTCTGTGAGCCCGGGTCTACACACTTTGTGTCCCAGAACTAAAAATAGTTATGAAGATATTCCCATTTGGGAATAGTGATAGAGATGCAGCCATGTTAGTCTGGTCTAGCTAAAACAAAAACCAGGACTATGTAGCACTTTAAAGACTAACAAGATGGTTTATTAGGTGATGAGCTTTCATGGGCCAGACCCACTTCCTCAGATCAATCTTCTGCAAATTGATCTGAGGAAGTGGGTCTGGCCCATGAAAGCTCATCACCTAATAAACCATCTTGTTAGTCTTTAAAGTGCTACATAGTCCTGTTTTTTGTTTTAGCTATTCCCATTTTGGGTCTGAGCCCTAAGGAGGGCATTGATTTCAGAGCCCACGTTCTAGTGGGAACTTCTATACGTCTATTTTTAATGCTATAGTATGAGTCTGGTTTTATAAACCCAGGTTCTGAGACTCAACAGCTGTGTTTTGGTGTTTTTTTATTTTTTCAATCTAGACATATTCTGAGGGAGCCCAATCCGGCAACACTTCCAGTAAACTCAGTTTTTGAAACTTTAACCTTTCTGAATGATCTGCAGTTGCTGGAAACAAAACTTTGAAAGGGTGATTGAATTATCACCTATGCAACACTTTGGCTTCCTGAGTGCTGTAATCCAACCCGGGCTTTGGGACTATAAGGTAGTTCCTTCTGGCATTATATGGAGATATACCTATTTCATATAACTGGAAGGGACCTTGAGAGATCAAGTTCAGTCCCCTACCCTCAGGGCAGGACCCAAGTACCATCCCTGATAGATGTGCCCCAGATCCCTACATGGCCCTTTCAAGGATTGAGTTCACAGCCCTGGGTTTAGCAGGCCAATGCTCAAACCACTGAGCTATCCTATCTCTCTTCCCTGCTTAAACTCTTAAGATTTTTTTTGAGACAATGACATTGATTATATATGATTTTATCACCTAGGGATGTTAAATCAGTTAACTGGTTAAACACTAGCACTTAACTGTTTTAACTTATGTCCTGCCGCCATAACTTATGTTGTGGGGTCCCATTGTTCAGCCTGCTGGCTTCTCTGCAACTGGGGCTGCTCCAGCTCAGAGTTCACTGGCAAGGGCCAGTTAACCAATAAAATCACTGCTATCACCCTGGGCTCAGTTGGAAAGGCAACATATCTTAATGTCTAGAACGGAGGAGTGGGACCAGGAGACCTGGATTTAATATCTGGCTCTCTCAGTGGGTAACCTTGGGCAAGATACTTCCCTGTGACTCTATTGCTTTGTAAAATGACATTAAGGATACTGATGTTTGTAGAACAGGGGTCTCAGTCTCCTGGCCCGTGAGCTATCCCCAGCCAGAGCAAGTGCTCAATCCAGACTGAGATTCCTAGGGGGACAGTGGAGGCTGTCCACTTTTGGCCCCGGACAGCCTCTACTCCCAGCAGTTGGCCACTCTGCCTCTGGAGTCCTGGCTGACCCCCACTCCCAACCACTGGGACTGCATCTGGCAGAGAGGTCCTACCTTTAGTTAGCAATGTAGCACTGCACTTAAAGTTTTCAGTAGAGCCTGGAGCAGGAGTGAAAGGATTATTTCTGGCATTTTTCTGGTAGATATGGTTCCCTAATAAAAACTAATTATGAAGTAATGTTAACATAATGTGTTGGTGTTGTACAGAACAACAGTATTTTGAAGTGGAAAAGCGTCTGGCTCAAAGTCAGGAGAGACTTGTAAACGAGACTCAGGAATGTCAGACAATCCGCCAGGAGCTAAACAAACTTAGTAAGTATAACTATGCATTGATTAACTGTTTTATGCTTGAATAACAGTTTGGAAAGTTATTTTTCTGCTCATATGATTACATCTATTGAAGTTATTTTGAAATGCTTAATACTCTAACCTTTCATTTCGTAGAAGTTAATTGATATTTTTTATTCAAATCCTTGCTTTCTACATGCAGTCTGTTTTACTGGAGTAAACATCTTATTTCATTTTATTCAAGAAAAGATTCTACAAACAAATGTGTGCAGTGTACCCTTATATCCAGGGCTCGCCGAACCACGCTGTCCGGCAATCTGCGCATGCGCAGGTCGCTGGAACCCAGCTCATCCGGCTTACAATCTACTTGCCACAGGCGAGTAGATTGTATAATTTGTCGAGCCCTGCTTTATACCAATAAGGGTCAGGTTGCAGGATCAGGGCCTTAGACACTGATATGTCAGTAGCTTCTCTGTGAGGAATACTCTTTCCTCTGAGTACAGGGAATCCCCACTGTAAATTGCCCCAGTATATATCTGTTCCACAATAAAGTCGTTTACATCTATAGAAACTGATGTTATAAGTCTTCACATTACCAACTCTTAAGTCGCTCAAATCCTTCCCCCCAATTTGCGCAAATGGAAATCAGTCGCAGGGGAAAAAATTCCCTGCTTTAAGTTGTTTCACTATAAGTCCAACTTTTTTTAAATGTATCTTGGACTTATAGCGAGGAGGGCCTAAAATATTTCCAGAAAGTAGATGAGCAGGAATAAAACTACTTTGTTTTTAATCACAATTTAATCAATGGCTTGTATATTAGATTTTTAATTTTCGGAATTAAACTCTTAAACTCTTCTGTTTTTAATTCTGAAACAGGAATATGAATTTTACCAACTGGAGGTACCTAATGCATATGTTCTGTTAATACCAAAACATTTTCTTAATTTTCTCTTTTTTTCTTTCTCTACATAGATGAGCAGTTGAAAACACTGAGTGAGAAAAACAAAGAACTTGAAGCAGCTCGTGATCGCAGTGCAGCCACACAGGTATAGGAACTGGGGCTATGCAAATGTAGCGATAGACAGTTGAAAAGCTTTAGAATTTAGGGTGCATATTTTGTTCGAAGTCTTGAAAGTCAGAAGTTAGATCTGGTACAATCTTTGTGCAAATAAGACCCTGTCTATTCAAGAAGGCTGCGCTCTTCGAGTCCCAGTGCAAGCTCCGGTGTGGACAGTTTTATTTCAGATTAAGAGTGACTTATTTTAAAGTAGTTTAAAAGTGTTCCCGAGCTATTTATATATTTTAGAAAAGTCTGTCCTTCTGGGAATCTGTTTGTTCAAAACCTCCTCCTAAACGGAAAGAGCTAGGACCACCAAATTTGGTATACAGTTTCCTCTTTTCCTAACTTAAAGCAAGGTCAGAGTTTGGTTGTGCCAAGAAAATGGGAAGTTCTGAGAATGGGAATGTTTTCCATTACATGGAAAGGGAGGAGGGCAGAGAGGAGGGATGCAATACTGAGAGTGGCCACTGGGGGCAGTGAACCTGCAAGGGGGGAGCCATATGCAGAGTGGACAGTGGGGGCAGCCGTACCATGCAGAGAGAGGCCAGTGGAGCTGGGACTCACCATCCTGCCTGCATCAGATGGAGTAATTAGCCCCCCCCCCCAACGCGCTCCTGCTCTGATTACAGCACCAGTGGGGGAAGGGAGAAAGGACCCTTGGGGGGGAGACTGGAGCAGGATGCAGAAGGCCCCTGGTGGCCAGTGAGGGGAGTGAAAGCCCTGTCAGATGGAACCTCATCAGCCTCCAACCCTCATTCTTGCACCCCCTCATGCCCTCAGACTTCTGTCCTGCCCCTATCCCCATTGCCCTGCCCTGACTCCTGCATCCTCCACACCACCAGCCCTCTTCCCTGATGGACGCGGACAGTGCCAGGTAAGTTTTCTAGTTTAAACTAACCATCAGAAGTCACAATAAAACCAAGAGTTTCTGCACAGTTTCACACCATTTTAACAAAGTTGGTTTTAAATTGCAACTCTTGCTTCTGGCAGTGCAGTTTTCTTGTGAAGACTGGCCCACTCTATTGATGGCTTTCTTCACAATTTCTTTTTTTCCTCTGGCCTTGACTAGTTTGTAGTTAATAGTGTATAGAAACTGTCAACAAAATAAAACCAATTCAGAGAACAAATGTAACTAGAGCACCTCTTGTTACTACAGTTCTGATTCTAGTTTTATCCTTAGGCACACTTAAGAACAAATTATTATAAAGAAGATCTGTCTTAGATTTCCTCTGGAATTAAGTAAATTCCAGTCT